CCCCTACTCTGAACCCACAAGATCCTTCTTCCAAGAAAGAGGATTCTAAGGAATTAACAGATCAAGTATCGAATTCAATCTTTTAATTCTATGTTGGCTAACAATCTGATTTTGCATCCCTAATTTTTTGCTAATTTAGAGATTGTTTGTCGGTAAAAAGAAAATATTACTGTGCATAATTATGAGCAGAATGAGTTTTTGAATAGTAAAAAGTAACAAAAATATATAATTTAAATTTAAGTGAAGAGTGCTTTATTGTGAGAATAGGAAATTAAAATTGAATATGAGAAAAAAAGAATTTTGAAATAATAAATGTTGAATGGGGGATGTAAAAAACCACTCATAATTAAAAAAAAAATACTCACAAGTTAAAAAATAACTTTTAAGTGAAAATGTAACTTATAAGTTAAAAAAAAAATCACTTATACGTAATAACACACTAAAAAGTAGAATTTTTAAGATGGACCAATCTACATTCAAAATAAATCAAAGCAAAATATTATCGAGTTTGGTTTCAATTTTTTCAAAGTCATTTTCTACTATACATTCTTTCAAATAATTTTGTGCATAGATCCATAACTTTTCTCTACTATCATTTTAATAAAAATCTATTTTAAAAAAAAAATTATATCGAACAGGTACTATATATTTAAAGATTTTTTTAATATAAGCCACCCAAACAAGTTAGCTAAAGCAAGCAATAGACGTTGTTAAGATCATGAAACATTGTGCAGCACTTATTTCTTCATTGGATTTAACCAAAAAGGAAATTTAAGATTAGACATATTATTCCCAAATCCCACTTACCAGTTCTGGTGTCTGTAGAAACAGAGAAACTGCTTTCTATTCCCCAGTAATGTGTTCGATGCCATGGATTGAAGTGATGCGCCTTCAAATCAACCGCTTTTGTGTGTGTATATATATATGCTTAAAGCTCTTTTTATGGATAAATTCTTTTAGAGATCTCCTACTTTTTATATGTGTGATGACAATGTTTTTAACCGTTCATTTGTAGCACTCGTGTTTCCAGTTCATTTGTAGCACTCACACGGTATCTTCATTTCAGATGAGACTTCTATTTAGTAATTAAATGAATATGTGACATACACATAACGTTCTATTGAAAAAGCAAAATTATTTAAACATTCACCATTTGGTTTTCCAAATAAAGAAGTTGTAACGATTGATCTCTGTGTCCAAACAGTTAATTTACTTACTGTCCACTATGGGAGAACTTTAGCCATCTTACCTCTCGCAGCGATGGATTGGGCACAAATATCAGACCGTTAAAAAAATGCGCAATTTTTGTAACGATTCTACCTCTATACTCAAGTTGTTGACTTGCATACTGTTCTCTATGAAAGGAAAACTTCTCTCTTAACCTCACAGTTTTCTATCACGTCATGAGGATTTGATACTATTAACTTTCCCTTGAGAGAGATTCAACTTAAGTTTCTGTTAAGGAAAAGGTCATGGGTTTAAATCCCAAGGGCACAATAGAAATTCGCGAGGGGTAAGGTGGATTTAGGCTTTTTTTGTAATGATCCAAGCCCCGTGCTCAATCGTTCTTTTACATATTATCCGCTTTAGTAGAGCTTGGATCCATCTTATCCCTCACGGATCTCTGTCTATTCCCCAAAATTCGAACACATGACCTCCCCTTAGAAGAGACTTAAGTTGAATTGTCCAATTGGTATTAGAATTTAACCTAAGTATTTTTTTTAAGGAAACGATCATGAGTTCGAATATTGAGTCTAAAACAAAGAGTCATGAGGGGTAAAATTAGACAATACATAAGTTAACTGTTTGGACATAGAGATTGAATCGTTAGGGATAGTAAAAAATCCGTTCTGCCCGATACCCGAGAGGTTAGGAATTATCCACTAACTGGGTAAACTGGGCGGGGGTCATTATCCCGAAGTGGATACAGGAAAACATAGTTTCAGGCCCTTTATCTCTTCCCATTTAAAGTTATTTTCAATTTTCAATTTTTTATCAACTAAAAATAGAACATTTATCATCATTTTTAAAGAAAACTTGTTCTTAATAAATTGGAAAAAGAAGTAACAATATTTACTAGTTACACACATAGCAAAATAAAAGTAAAAAATAAATTAAATGGGGTGATAAATGGGGCAGGGTTAAAGTAAAAAATAAATAAAATGGGGCAGGTAACCCTGCCCGATCTCGGCACGAACCTGGTCCTTCACTCTTTAATAGGGTATGGAGACAGGGCAATGTGACATAAATATCCGACAAAATGAGAGTGGAAATGGTTGATCAGCACCATACATGCCTTGTTGCCATCCCTATGAATCGTGACAAAAACCTTCTTCAAAAATTTTTATCTTTTCAGTAAGACATCACGGGCATCTCCCATGAACATTTAACATTAAATTAGACAATTCTAGACACCGTGCACACAACGTTAAAGGGTTTGGACATGAATATCACAAATGAAAGGTTAAAGACGTGACTATCACACTTACGAAAGGATGGGAATTCGAGAAAGAATTTATCCCTCATTTTTTGGTTGTACTTAAATTCTTCAAAAACTTTTTGGAAAGATTTCCGAAGCTTCCAAATAAATTCCATCTTTTTAAAATTTTTAATGAAGTTAAGAACCTTGACTCTTAGGAAATCTATTGAACAAAATACTTGGAAACGTGGATTAAAAATTGAAAATTTACTATGGAATTTTTGTGAGGTTCAACCGAGAAGTAATTTATCCTTGACAAATAATTAGCCCTTGTTTGATCTCCATTTTGGAGAGTATTTTGAATAGTAGATTGATGGAGAATGTGTGGTTAAAATAAAAGAAAAATTTTGAATTTGCGTGTAATATTATTTTATTGAATAATGTGTGGTTGAAAATGAGTTTTGAAAAAATGAATTTTTGGAAGAACGAGAATCAAACAAGGGCTAATATAATTTCAGACTTTAACTAGAGCCTGTTTGATAGAATTTATTTGAGAATAATGAGTTATCGAATAGTACTTTTTAGAGAATGTGTGGTTGAAAAATAAGAAAAATTTATTGATTTATGTGTAAAATATTTTATTGCGTGAGTGTGTGGTGAAGAATGATCCTGTCGTAAACAATTTAAATTTTTAAAGAATGACAAACATAGACTTATTATACTATTATAAAATCAACAAGTCATAGGGTTTAACTTAGCCCATGCTTGGTGTGGATTAGAAGTTGATAAAATTTCAAGTCAGAATCAACAATTAATTATGACCACACATTATATAGAACATACAATTTTAATAAAAAATTTATCAACTTTCATCAAAATTCTAATTTTAATCTATACCAAACATGAGCTTAATGTTATTTTTATATTGCATGTTCTATCATTTCCCATTTCACTTCCAATTTTTGCCTAATTTGGTAAGAAGTGACCATTAAGGCAATTAGGCAAGCATCACATATTCATATTCCATCAAGCTTATGAGGTCAGGGGCTGTTGGTATGTAATATAGAATATATATCTATATATTCACACGAGTGAAGGAATGTATTCCATGCTTTCCAACGAACGGAATAAAATGCAGTGAAGAAGAAATTTTTGAACACAAATTTTCTTAGTTGGGACACAATTTTCTCTCAACCTCAAAGAAAATTATAGTGCCAAAATGAAGTATATTGAGAGGTGGAAGCAAGTCATTGCAATGGCGACTGTTAACTTTGTTTTAGCGACGGTAAATATTCTTTTCAAGATGGCACTCGAACGAGGGATGAACCATATGATCATTGTTGCATATAGGCAAATAATCTCCACCGTCTTCTTGATCCCATTTGCCTATTTATGGGAAAGGTAACTAAGTAAACTAAGTATATAATACGATTTAACAACGATTTCAAATATATTAGC